TTACTTAAGTAATAATTAAATAATATAGTATAATTAATAAGTAAGAACAATATAAATTATGTACTATAGGTACGAACGCTATAAACACTGACTAGTGACTACTAAACAACAAAAGTAACAACAAACGACTCTCGATACCTACTGCACGGTAGGTTATTTATTAGATGGTCACGAATCACAATTAACAATATAATACTGGTCACAAAACACAAATTAATTATTATTTATATCATAATGTTCACTAATATTTACGTAGAATGAAAAAAATCTAACAAATCGATCGACAAAATAACGAGTACCTAATTCAAAATAGAAATAACCATATAGCGCACTGATAACATGGACAAAAAAAAAAGTAGAGAAGAAATTTGTTATTGACTCGCATAAATTAGATACCCATAGACTGCTTATTTTGAAATCAAAGCTCTTTTATCTTCATTGGTCAAAGTCCATTTTTGTACCACTAGATACTGTGTTACTTACGTAGTTCCTCGAAGATCAACTTAGATGCTACGAATTTTTGAATATAATTATAGATAACTCACATCTGCAGTTTTTATCCTAACTTTGGTGAACGCTTTAATTTAATTTTAAAATTGATTTGCGTCATTCACTATCACATGGTAATAAATTTTATTACAACCCTTCTACATTTAACACAATTTTGAAAATTTAATGACTCGTCTGAAATGGAAGTAACAGCTTTTTATTATGTCGATCCTTGATTCTCAGATTTCAGTTCAACTGATCTGTTAAAGAGTGATGCATTTTTACAAGCTTTTGACATTTTTTTTTCAACGACACAAAAAAACGTATCTCTTACACGGTTTATTTTATACATAAATACATTGTACATATAGCATTTTAGGTTAAAGGCACTAATTTAAACAAAAAATTTAATAGTAAATAATTTTAAAATTTTTTCTTATAAAAATGGGAAAAAATTCAATTTTTTAATAAAAAAATATATGTAAAAATAATAAAATTAAAATAAACCATGGTTAATGGTAACATTGGTAACCAATTATTATTGTTACTTTAATTACAATTTTGACTTATATATTATACAAAATTAAGAATACAATTATTTTCACCTGTAAAAAACGTATAACGAATTGCTGGGAATCAGATAAAAAAACTCACAAACGATAAAATGTCAATATGCTATATCGTTTTAAATTCGAATGAGATCGATGGTTAGTATCAAAAATAATATTATCTATTGATTCCAACAACAAACCGTTACCTACTACAGCAAATATTTATTACAATTATGTATCATATTTTTCATATCAGTATTTAATTATATAGTTTTTGAGATAGTGATGGAGGGACTGATGAGTTTTGTTGATAGCGATGTAAATAAAATATAAACGTTAATAGAATGATATATTATACAATATAACACAAAACTATAAAATACTGCCTGTTTTTTAAGGTCGTAATAATGCGTATAAACAAATTGCCTTTTTTACTCGCATAACAAAAGCGTTATGTATTTGGAACAAGTATAGCAAGTCCAGATTTAACGTCCATCTATACAGTGGCTCTACTTCACCAGCACGATGTCACCGCACGGCGCCCGACGACCGACTAACGAATTATCTTTTCGACCGTCGTCAATACTATTGTCACAATATAAAAAATAAAAACTTACAACTATACATGCAAAATCTATAAGGAATTTAATTTTAAAGCAAAAACAAATACATTCCAATATTTCCATTCCATGAAAACATTCCATTTTTAATCATACCCTTGAAAGTCACAGACAGTCCAAAAGTCTAACACAATGAGGAAGAAAAATGGATTAATAAAATACTACACAGTGCTCAAATGCATTACAGGGTATTAAAAAAAGATCACCTAACTTAACCTAACCAAACATGTTATGTTTAAAAATCACTGGTCCAAGTGCATTATGCAAAATTACTCATACACAAGCCACCCAATTTGTATACACTTACATTATTCTACAAAGTTTTCAATGATCTTGAAATACCAATCTGATATAATTATTAAGAACTATCGTTGTTAATAATAAGTATTCACCATGTCGACATATTCTCACAGTTGAAAGAACGATATCAAGTATACTAATGTTCACCCATCGATTAAAAGAACGTTTTATTTTCTTCCACTGCAAACGTTACATACGAGTGAAAATTCGCCAAAACGTTCATGGCTCACTGCAACGACTAGTGTTGGAACATAACTATATGCAGTCACACTGTGCCGTCGTACCTACACAAAAGCCAACACCAATATGACGAATATTTATCCAAATTAAAGTATACACTCGGTAAATTTTTTATATTTTTTTTTCAGCAAATAATTGTTTTTATTTGAGCAAAAACGAAACAAAAATTTGTAATTCTATATAATATTGATTATTTATTATTATATAGGTACTTTTATAGAAAGAACATAGTCTTTTCACTTTTGTTATAAGCGTCGACTAAAACATAGTCAATTACAGTATAATGTGTATTATATTATAGTCTAAGTATTACAATATATTATATTAATCGTAAAATTGTATTATCACAGCGATAACAAGTTAATTGTATTATATAGATTCAACGTAATTATATCATTACATCACAATCGTGGTTCATACACCATTTAAAAATAAACATGCATACAATAATATAATATTATTCAAATGTGTATTCATCGCGAGCCTACATAGTTGTACATTATTTTCACAACAACGATAAAAATTACTATCATCATACTTTTTAAAAAAATCACCTAATTCGTAATACGAACAACATTAAACATAGGTACCCCACATTTTCATCCGTTCTAATAATAATAGTAGGTACCTAGTCGCACAGTACGATTTACTCAAAAATCTTGTATTGTACAATATATGAGAATGTGTGTATTTAATCACTGAACTTTAGCACTGTACTTTTCTCTGTAAATTAATATTTTTGAAACTATTTTGTTTCTATAATATTTAAATGTATTAAAAAATATTTAGGTATGTATCGTTATTTATTTTTAAGTTATTACTTTTTAGAATGACAATATACAATATATTTAGATTTGCATTCCAAAGATGAATGTTTCTATGAAAATTTTGAAATATAAAAATTAAATTTTAAATCAGTGGTTAAAAAAAATGTTAAGACTCAAGGGTGTTTAAAATTTAGGTGAGTAGAATGAGTACTAAAAACCCTTGAAATGCTGATCCATATGTCCATAAAAACATTAATGTCATAAACTATTGGTTCAAATTGGATTTCCATAATATATATCGAAATTTCTCAGATAAATTTTCTTCTACGGACTACAAAATTATTAATATTTATTTATTTGAAAAAAGTAAAAACTTGAAAAATAATAATATTAAATACAACAAAAAGTAATTTTTCTTCAAAAAAAAATAAAAAAAAATAAAAAAAATAAAATGTAATAATCAAATTACTATAGTATGATAAAAGAATCAATTGTGGAATTATAATGTATATTAAGACTATATTAAGTAACTTAAAATAATACAGTTACAATTTTTATTTCAAAAACTAGATCACCACAATAAAATATAGCAACTGTATTATTACTGAAAGTAAATTATTGTGCTTGATAAAAAACAATATTATAGATAGTCTATAATCTTGATAGAAAGTAATGCACAGTGATACACATATTCCACAAATGAATTATTTTAACACATGTACACAAATTATTATAATTAAGTTAATACGGTAATATTATATTTTGATGTTGTTGTCATAATTGTCATTACTACAATTTAAGGCATTTTCTATTGTTTAAAATGTAATTTACTATGTACATATTATTATTACTTAGTTTTACAATAGTCTGATTTTACAGCAAGACTTAAAAATAGGCTACATAACAATTAGGAGAATATTAATATAATATTTTTTTTTTTGCTTTCATAATTTTCTAATGACTAAATTTTGATTTAATTTTATAACTGCTATTGACACTAAGTCAATACATGTGTATGTATGATAGTTTATTTTATAGAATTAATATAAATGAATCAATTTTATTTAAAATGCATTTAAAAAAAAAGAAAAATATATTATGCAATTAACAAAAAAACTAATCGTTCTAATATAGAATATAAATAGACAAACAAATTTCAAAACCACAGGAGTTAAAATAATAAAGAAATTAGATAAACTAAAATTTAAAAACCTCTATATTTATGAATAATATTTTTTTTATTTTTAAATAGTATAGAAAAAGTGTACACTATAATGAAATTTTTGAGCATACACAATTATTGCACCTTTGATTTTTTTTAAATCAAGACATAAAATTCATAATTTTGAATAGTAATAAAAAAGATTACCTAAAACATAAGTATAACTGACCCTTTAAAAAATTAACAAATAAAAAAATAGTTTAGGGCATACTTAAGCTATGATTTTCAAAATCATCTTTCTCATTTATTAATTTTTATCAATAATACAATCGAAATATAGTTAAATACAAAGTGATTCATTAAATGAAAAATACTTGTAATCTAAAATCCACTATGAGTAATGTGTTACATTCAATGAATCACAGTATATATAAGATATACATAACATATTAGAAATGTACCAAGCGCACTATTTAATTCAAACACGACAAAATTAAGTATAAAAATTCAATGATGTATAATTTTGTCATAAATTTAAAAAAATTAAAATAAAGTTAGTTCTATTTTTGCATAATTGATAAATAAAAATAATTAAGTTTAAAAAAAATGATTTAATAAAAACTGTCATTAAGGGGTGGAGGGAAGTGAAATGATAGAGAATTACATTACCTGTATTCAAATATCATTGTTCAAACAACATTTACACTTATAAAAATCGATAATTTTGATACATTATTACCATCTCTAATAATATGATGTACAAGATAGTAACAATATAATTATTGAATAATATCTAATAAAAACTTATAAATTTATACTATGAACTTTTATAATGATACATACTATAAAACATATGTGTAAGTAGTAAAAATATATGCATTTTTTTTTTTTTTTAATTAAATTATAATTTAAATATAAATCTACATAAAACAGAAACTAAATTGTAATGTAATCCTTAGCAATTTTTTTTCTTTCAGTTTTTAAGTTATACATTTTTTTCTGAATTAAATAATATAATTGTATTTTAATCATTTCTGTATCAGCATAGAAACTAGGTTCTCCTTCAAATTGGACAACTAACAGTTGTATAATTCAAAAGAACTCCATCACCTACCAAAATCTTGTACTAAACAACAGCAGGGCGTACTTCACATTCGCCTTTGCTCAGCCGATATTCTGCCATTTTGGTAATACCATGATAATGAACAAATGCTGCCAATATAACGAGTACATGGAATATCTGATGACTTTGGAACTATAAAGAAAAAAAAATTATCAAAAAATTATAATCATAAATTTCTTTTGTTAACAATAGCAGAGGTGAATAATAGGTGGATAGATATTATGTAAACTAGGATACATAATATTAAATAATTAATACAAAAATATTAAATATAAGATACTTAAGATATTTTAACTTGGTAACTAAAAAATTAATTGTACAGGATACAAAATATATTTAAATAAAAGGTTTATTAAGTGACTGGTAAAGAATACAATTAGTAATATAAAACTTTAATATTAAGCAAATTTGTCACTTATAAAATTTAATTTCATCAATTTAACTTTTTCCCGTAATTTACAGTGTTTTTAGTTTTTACTGGATAAAAACGTATATATTTTTTTTCAAGCCACTTTTGAACATCTGTTTTGCCTTCGAGTAATCTTCAGTTAACATAGAATGGTAAGAAACATTGTCCATTACTATTAAGCATGGTTCTTTTTAATTGGCCAACATGTCGATAAACCATTTTGATCGTGTTTATTTGTGAATAGTAGTCTTCCAAACTAATAGATTTACATTAAAAAACTAATTTCGAATTTTTTTACAAACCCAAATGAAGGTGACCCAGCATGACATAGAATGAATTGACTAAGAAAAGACTTTTACGACAATTATAACCAATAACTACACAAAATGCTATCATACAATATAACTGAATTTGTATCGCGAATATACAAAGTGTACTACCTATGTGCCAACATTAACAAAATTACGAAAATGTTACCCAAAAATGCGAAAAAAGATCACCTAAAAAACAAATGCTATAAATTACTATGTGCGATGAAATATGCCTGCTACCAATTGTCAGCTGTTGTCAATATTCCCAAATTTAGAACCACTGAATCTACGAAAAACGACTAACAGGCATGTGACGATCGCGAACTATTTTCGTAGGCCGTACTGTAATAACTAATAGGTATTAAGTAATAACCTATACCAATGATCCTCAACCTTTTTTAAACTCAGCACACTTAATTCTTAACATGGTTTTCATTGACATATGAGCAACGTTTTTCTTTAGCAAAGAACTGGAAAATTCCTATTTTTAATAACAATACTATACCACAGTCGCAGAGCACTTACAGTTTGCGATATACTAGTTACATAAGTTAAGAACGACTGGCCTACACAACAATAAGTTTTGAGTACTTTTTAATAATTAGAAATTGATGTTTACTTTAAAATTTTAAATATATTCTTTTTTTAAAAACGGGGACAAAATTGTTGATATAAATCCTCTATGAGACATCCTAAACAGTAAAATTAAATATCTCTGTTTTACATGAATGGTATTTTGTACATTCAAAGTTATTAAACCAATAATAAAAGTTTTTAATATCATAACTAATCAGTTTTTTGTTAAAGGTATTTTTTTTTTTTTTTTTTTGATTATTAATAAAAATAATAATAACTTTTACTATAAGTTATGATATATTTAATTCCAATCAGAATTTAAAATCAAAAATAAAATAACAGTTTTTACCATACACAGAAAATTAGTTAACAGAAAACTAATTTTTCTAATAATGTAATATATTACAGCATATTCTTACCAATAAATCACATCTTCCAGGGAAAAATCTTTCTGGTACTCTTAACGCATACAATAAAGCACCAGAGATGTACAAAAAGCCCATGAGTAACAGCCATCCAAGACTAATTAATGTAAAGTTAGAAAAGAATCCTTCTACTGCTCCATAATGAAGTGCTGGTATAACACCAATCAATCCAAATGTAGTAAAAACACCTATAAAAAAGAATTAAATAAACTTTTACTTAAAACTATTTCATTAATTAAAAAAATTAAATGAATATTAACATATCATTAAGCGATTCCTCTTAAAAAATTAAGTAGTAATAGATATTATGTAAATCATAATAACTACAAAATCTGGATTTGAATGTACCAAAAAAATTTAAAATAATATGAATTCATTCATTAAGAAACCTTAAAATATCCTATTAATATTTTCAAGAAATGAGCAAAAATAAATTCTTCTAAAAAATATTTCCTAGCTACCAATTTTTAATAAAAATTAAATTGATTTTTGATTAAAATTCAAAAATATAAATTAAAAATTTTTATTTTAGACATCAACTTGACAATAATTAATGTACAATTAAAAAGCACACATAAAGATTAAAACAATCTTTTTTCAAATATTATTTAATTTAAGATTTATATTAAATTATAAAAGAATACATATGTTATACCAATTATTACTTACAACTTATCAAATGCTTTCCTAACAATATAACCATGCAAAATCTAAAATTTTCCCTTATAAATATAAAAAAATACCTTTCTTTTAAATACATAAAATTCTTTAAGTATAACGTTACTTAAAATATGTATTTATATGCAATATAAATACATGGTTTGATGTATTTTCTACTAAATAAATCTTCGACATTTTTTATTTCACCAACTTTCAAAAAAATTAAATAAAAATTCATATAAATCAGGCCAAGTAATTATACATAATATAAAATAACCAAACCTATCTTATAAATATAAAAAAAAGTTAATATAGAAAAAAAAGCTAACTAAAATGTATCAAAAAAATTAATTTTTAACAAATCCAAAAATGGTAAATTTTGTTAGTTTATTTTAAAAATATAAATTAAATTGTAGATTTAATTGTTATTTGAAAATATATATAGTATAGCAATAGTTGACTAATACACTCTGTTCAATATAAAGTACTCTGGCCGTCTAACCACTTTTGTAACTACTGAATAGAACATGTCATCTTCATATAATATAACTTAATGCCTTGTTAAAGAGCTTATAGTGTTTGACAAAAAATAATGATAAATTTTTCTTTTCATACTGAACAGAGTAGGCACCTAATTGCATTTTTTACAAGATAATTAATAATAGTCAACCAACTATTAATTCATAATACAAAATTATACATATTCTTAATATTAGTATACCTGCTCTGAGTGGCCTAAGACCAGGATCACTGAATTTGTCCCACAGTGCTACAACCATTGCCACCATTCCCAATGCAACAATCAGTATTAAATACAATATCCACGAATATGGTTCGCAATAAAATCCATAATATAACCATGGCACAAATGAACCCATTATCAGTATGGCAATTCCACAATAATCCAATCTTCAAATATATAATTAATTAATTTACTATTAAAATAATCAAAATGATTTATTTACTTGCTAAAAAATTTTCCAACAGTTTCTGAATGGCAATGAACAGTATGAAACACAAATGAAAAACCCATACAAGTAATTGCTCCAATAAAGTATATAATGAAAACTAATTTGTCTTGAAATGAAAGTTCTTCTTCAGGTCTAGATGCAAAATAAAGAGTCATAACAAAAAACGCAATACACCCTGTAAAATAATAGAAATTAATTAAATTTTGATTTGTTACATTAATTAATGCAATAAATATTTTTTATAATCACCTAACAAATGTGTCCATATGTTTCCAGTTTCAGTATGAATTCGAAAAATAGATTGAAAACAAGCCTGAAATGAATTTAATGGTGGTCTATGTCCTGTATGCAAGAAATCGTTATCCTGGAGCCATTGAGGTAAGTTGTGAAAATTACACACATTCCACATTTTACGGCCAAGATCACGGGCTTGAGCAGCAACATGCTGAAACTCTGCTTGAGCCATAGTACCTATATCCATGTTTTCATTTGTTTCATTGGATAAACTACACGTCATCTAAAAATACAATACCCAATTATTATTATAAGTTACTAAGAATCGTCATGTAGAAAAAGTATAGTAAATTTTAAAAGAATAAAAATCATAAAATTCCCTGTGAAAAATAATAATAAAACCAGTGGTTGTATGTATAAAATAAATCCTTACATCATTGTTTCCATTTGAAGGGCCAGATAATAAATCAGTTTTCTCTGCTATTAATTCATCTGATTTCTATAAAACATACACATAAAATAGCATACATAATGCAAACAAATCAGTATTATATCTTGGAAGAATGAATAAAGTGAAAAAAAATATCAATTGTTATTCAATATAATAAAATAAAATTAATTTTTGTATATTTGTGTTAAAATTTAAAAATGTAATAAAAATAAATTAAATTAAGAGAAATTTCTCTAATAACAATCAAACTAATGATGATGATAATGATATTATTTTCTATCCATTATGAAAAATATTTAATTTTACTTCACATTTCTTCGTAAATGTTTTTAAGATTTATTTTATTTTTTTAAATTTGATTAAAAATGTAATGAATAAATAAATAAATTTATTAAACAATAACTTATCTAAATTAACAAGATCAAATTCAAACATTGTGCCCAAAAGCAAGTACTTTTCTAATATTTAAAATTTAAAGATAGTTTATTTTTTGATAAACATACTTAAGTATACACAATTAGAGAATTAACTAAACTTCACTTAAGAATAGTTATAAAAATAATAATTCTTATGATATTAATGCTGATTGACTAATATTACAAATACTGATTTCCATATGGAATACTAACGCCAGTAATACATATTAGTCCAGAGCATAATTGTTTCTATTCTAATACAAAACAAGTATTTTTAGTTCATTTTAGTGATTTATAATAATATAAAATAAATTATAAGTAATTCTGTAAAATGAAACATGCCTTTATAAAATTTAAAAGGCAGGATCTCTGTTCCCCTTTAATTAGACCAAAACATTATTTAGTAAAAAATGAATTCTTTAAAAAATATATATACAATATTCTTAAGTAGTTAGGTATTACTCTATGATATAATAGATAAAGTACTAATTTACCAATATCAAATCTGACATATGACAGATAAAAAGTTAATGCATACTATAGAAATATAAATAAATTGTACACTGACCTTTTTTTAAAATTTAAGATTAAAATATCTACTATTATTAACCATTTTATAAACTCCAATTATAATTTGAAGATAGATATTTAATATTTGTATATATTTGTAATTTTTGATTACTAAGGTCAAAGATTATCTCTCTATTTTTTACCATTAAACAGTATTAAAACTAAACATATACTTAATCATTTTTTTTAAATTATATTAGTAAGAAAGTTTTTAAGTTGTTAGAAATTGTATGGTCTTATTAAATAAAACAATTATGAGGAATATACTTACATTATTTAAATCAGCAGAGGGTATTTTACGGTGTCTAAGAATACTATTTTTTTTTGTTGTTGAAGTACTATCAGCTGCACTTTTTTCAGGCTTTGTAATTGTTTCAGTCTGTACACTTTCAGACATTTTGAAATTAAATTTGATATCAATCAACAACCTGTAATAATTTTTTTTTAATTAATTTTATACTAAACTTTAGTTGATTAAATAATTTATAACCAATATCTTCAAACAAATAGATAAATAATAATAAAGTTTAAAATTTGTTAAATTTAAAATAATTAATTTTCAATTAACTATTCAATTAGCCTATAACTAAAAAAATTCAGTTTATTTTACTAATAATTGAAATTACTTAATAGTTAGAAATCTATTTAATATCTTATAACATAATTTAATATATTAAAGGTATCAGTTTATAATGAAGTAAGTACATAAAGTACAAAAAATAATCAATTCTGTAATAAACTTGGGAAATCTAAACTATGGATAATCATCTTCATTAGATAGTTAAATTTTGACCTTCAAAAGTATTTAATTTGATTTTCACTAAACAATTAATTAGATGAAATCTATTAAAAACAGAATGGATTAATATAAGCCATCATTGTTTTAAACCTTGAAAAAGTGTGCTCACATATGTTTGCATAAATAAAACAAAACATTTTTTCAGATAGTTAATACAGACATTGTAAATAAAAATGTAACACATTAAAACTACTTCAAACTAAAATATCACAAAAACTAAAAATAAAATATTAACAAAAATATATTTTTATTAAGGATAAACCATTAATATTCATCTTTTTACATTCTATATTCATCATCTGCTATTCAAAAATTCTATATATTATTCAATAAATAATACATGTATTATAAATAAATGCTACATATTTTCTAATTCATAACCTAAGTATTAATTTGGAATAAAAAATTATAAATACATATGAGTTTTGTTTACACTTTTCAAAGATATTATGTTAATCAATCATCAGCAATTTAAAAAAAAAAATATTAAAATATAATTTTAATATAATTCATAGACTTAAATCAAAGATATTAAATAATATGTGTCACAAGTATTTGTCAGGAGAACCGTAGTGTAGGAAAGAAAAAAAATTGTTATTTGTTTATTATTATATTTGAAACATAAAACATTTAGGTAATTTTGGTTTTATATACATAATTATAAATTTGTTGTTTGATTTAATGTATGTATAAATAACATATATTATTATGAATAAATAAATATTATAAACTGTATCCAAAATAATTTGAAAACTACCAAAAGGTTAAAAAGAAAAAAATATAAATACCTCTAGCTTATAGCTTATATGTAATACAAATCAAGTTTTACCAGTTACATTTATTATAAGTTAGGCAAAATTATACCTAACATTCAGGTTTGATACATAAGACTAGTGATAGTTATAAACAGTTTCTAAGTGAAAGGTAGGGGTAGAATTCCTCTCTTTTTCTTCAGGCATGATATTTTTAATTAACAGTTACTACAACTATATTTTATACTAGCACAAATACTACATGTTTTATAAGATACAAAAGCTTTTTTAATTTTTTTCATAGAGATGATCTAAATTTAAAAATAAGAAGATATTTTAGATTACAATCTAATATTATAAAGATTCTTTTATAATTTTTAATATTTTGTAACTTTTATTATCTTGGAAATTATAATAGAGTTAATGTTAATTAAATTTATCCTTAGTATTTTTTTTTTTTTTTTTAGTTATTTATTTATTAAATTAATTATTTGAACAAATTTTTGTTTTTACAAAATAAAAAAAATCTCAGTTTTCTAAAATAAATTATTATTTATTAAATAATTTAAAACTTAACATTTTTATACAATATACTATTGATCACCAGGCATAATAATTAAATCACATAATAATATTGTTAAGTGATGCCCAATCCATGACCTGAGGGATACAACCACTCAACAAAGATGACTATGTGGCTTGTTACAAATGTCTAAAATGAAATATAGAAACCAAAAATAAATTATTGTTTAACATTTTCCAATTTAAAATTAAATTAATGTTTCCAGTAATTTAAATATAGGTAGGCTATTGGTGTTAAAAATAACTATATTTAAAATATTTAACAATTATAAAAATAATAATTAATATCAATAGATTTATAATCTTTTTACTAATTACATAATCAACAATTTTAATGACCATCATAATGTTGTCATAATTTAAATACTGTTAGTAAAAGATTATACATAACTCTTACTTATACTTAAATTGAAGAAAATCAAATAAATAATAAAGTTATTCAATTTAACATAACATGTTTCATATACTACACTTAAGCAGAATTCTTATCCATATTTATTATAATATTATAAAAGTATTCAATAAAAAAAATTAAGACAAATAAAACCAACAATCAATTAGTGATTTCATTGTTTTAGGCTGATATCATATTATGTTAATAACAAAAGAATTCTATGAAATTGAAATATTATAACAATCAAACAATATAATAATCAGAAAAACAAATAAGTTATAAAATATAATCAACTATTATTTTTACCCTATAAGTTTTTGAAAAAAATAGAACAAAAAATTTTTTAAACTAAGTATTTAATTAAAATAATAATGTTTGTAAGTACCTACTTTTTAAAAATTTTCATTAAGACTTCAGAATTTATCCCAATATTGGTTTAAAAAAAAAAATAAGATAAGTTACAATTATATATTATAACCAAGTAGTTAAGTGGTTCCCTTATATTATAACCAAGTATTAATATAAATAAATGCAGTTAATGTGTAAAGTATTTAAACTAATAACTTTATCAAACAAAATGGTATTTATTTTATATTTAATAATAGATGGATAAATTAATAATTATGAATTTTGTCAAAAAACTATTATTTTTTAAAATTTTACATTTTGAAGTAAATAAAACAATTCATTACTTACAATAAACAATTAAAATTTGTCAAAATATATGTACATAAGTTTCTACATTAATAAATATTTACCTACAATATATTACAAAAGCTTGATAGGGAATTCTGTATACATTCTTTTAGTTAAATATTTATGAATAATTGCCTTAACTGATAATTTATGACCTTTTACTGTCATCATATTTCTTAAATAAAATAATTACTTATACCTAGAGAAAAATATTTGGATTAATGTTATAATTTATTATTATAACAAATTACTCAGGAACCTCAATAAATAATATTTACTAGAATATTATACTCAACTATAAACTGTAAAATAACTAACAAAATAAATAACATCTATTAACAAAGTATAGATGTATTTTTTAAGTAATTGATTTCAGTATATTATGAAGAATAATGAATAATGTTTTTGTGCATTTCTAAATAAACAAATTACAAACATTATAACTTATTATATACTTTAAGATGCAAGATTGTAGTTTTAATCAATTTAACTTATCATAGGTGGCCAAAAAATAAATTAAAACCTCAAAAAATCTATTCTTATACTAAGTTGTTTTCTAGTCATTTTATTATTTTCATTCAACGCTGGTTTACAATAAAGGGTTTCAAAAAAATGTTAAGTGCCTATACTCCGTTTCAGCTAAACCTAAATCATAACTAACAGTGTTTAAACACTTTCGAACACATTCCGTTTGCGTTCACACTCGACAACATCAAAATATAAAAATGTAAGATATAAATTATATACATAAATGACAATATTGAAATAAAGGAAAAACGTACCTGTTGCAATTAATTGAGAAACTCCGTCGGCCGACCAGAAAATCACAAAACCAACTCGACTAGTCGTTTAATCGTCGGTAATCGATCGACCGACGACTCGCGATAAATTATACTAATAATGCGCTCGCCGTAAATATTCACTACAATACAACTAAAAAACAGACAAGTTACAACGTGTTATCAGTACGAGAGAAATGAATAAAATACCTACGCTTTAACAATTATTTTATTACGTAAAAGGCAGCAATATGCGCACGTCCTCGGTAATGAGTATCGAATATTAACACCGTTATCAACAACGACAACAACAATAATAATATTCAATAGTAATGACTAATGAGCATGGTAAAAAATGTGTCTATTTTGTAGAGAGGTGGTAACTGATACTTGTTATCTAATGTCCGGTAGGTAGTCTGTCGGACGGTTGGTCCAGCCGTCGCGGATATTTGTCACTTTGACTTTGTCTCATGGAGCTATAGCTGGAGGGCAACGATGGCAAATGAGTGACCGACCGAACACCTGTGATGGGCGATGAGCAAAAAGTGATAGGTGTCTTAAGTAGTTGATAATTATTATCTACCTATCTAATAAAAAAAACATGCAGGCGGCCGCCAGAAAATGAGAAAACCGATAGACTCGAGTTTTGAGAATTTGTGACGCACGTGAACGTTCAATGTTGCCGTAAAGAAACTTTTTTTTGTTAATAATATGCCGCACGGCCAACAGGAAATATCAAACGATTGTGATAATAATAATTCAATTCGATGATAACGGGATGATAGCGTTCGATACTTCAATCAGTTCAATCCCGTCCCCAGCGTGTAATAATTGATACGTAGGTATAGTAAATAATAATTATTAATTAATTTCGTTAACCCCCAGTGCAGAAAAATAACGTAGGTTTTTTTTTTTTGTAGGAGGTAGACTATTACGACATTTTATTAAAATGCCAGATTAATGACGTTTTAAATATTACTATGCTATTATGATTTGTATTGGTCGATATGTTATGTCGATCGACTATCACAGTATCAAAATATTAATGGGTACTATGCTACTGCCTACTCGAACCCATTATTACAGACAGACGTGATTAAATATTTAAACAAGTTGTTTGTACATGGTGTGTAAACTGACTGTAACAGTAAACTGACTATATTATATTGTGTATAACATGCATATGTTAAAACTGAGAAATGTGAATTGTGAATGTTTCAATGTTCTCGTTATTTCCAAAGAGTGGTTTACTTGCAATAACAATAATACATAGTACCTATAATATATGATATCTGTGCATCATTTTTGATAACTGTTAAAAAATACCCATGACTAAGAATGCCGGTAATTAAAAAATTTGAAAAGTAGAAAATATGTAGAGGAAGTCTAAAAATTAATAATTATAATTTATAAGTAATTAGTAAAGTAATATACATTTATGAATAAAAATGTTTGGTAGCACTGTTTAGATGTATAATTTAACTATAAAAATAAAATGCCACATTCCTGAAAAAAAAAGTATGTGTATACAAATTAACTCACAGGCCCTTCATTATTAGCGTACGAAACCGGACATGATATCAACTTACACCTGTGGTAGAAATTATATGACTAAATTTAGTACTACTCCGTGTCACCATACACTCAATGTTTGAGGTGAAGTTAGCGGTATAGAAATCGCTCTCTCAATACATGGGTACCTATGTACTAGGCGATCTGGCGCTAGCAAACTATAAGCAATTTTGTTCTTTATAGGGTAGATTAACCGTATTTAGAAATGATGGGATGTCGACGTTGTTGTGGGATAAATTTTTTATAAACAAATAAACCTACACCCTTATAATTTTTAAGATTATAAGTAATAATTATTGGATACCTAGTGCGTGAAATTTGACTCAAAAAGTTTATTTCTAGTTTCAACAAAATATAAAATCGTAAAGAAATTTATAAAATCGTAATTAGACTTAAAAAGTATCTAATATACTTGCTACATAAATTTAAATTTAAATTCGCTTTCGATCAGTTAATATTAAATATTAATATAGTACTGTTAGTTAAAAAATTAATATAATTCGTGTTTTGAAATCAAATGTGAGAGAGTACAGTTCAAAATTTGTTTTACTACACATCCGCATTTATTTAGTATTAATAATAACGCTTGCTACTCAGTAGTTTAAATAAATACAATTTCGGGCATATAGAGTATATCAACAAATACATAATCCATACTTAGTCAATAATTTGTATTCTTGTCATATAGTATTATAGTAGATATGTACTACATATTATATAGGCATAGGGTGGTAAAATTTTTTTTTGTGTGGGGGCCGCAGCTCTTCTAGAGGTAGAGATATTTACCAACTCGTGGAGGGCTTCGTCTGCATTTTGAAGGGGCTATTTTATGAACTGAGGGCTAAGTCTTCTTTTAACTATGCATATGATATGAAGTAAAAACACATGTTAGTTACCAATCATTAAAATTCCTGAATGAAATCCCAAGTAAAATATTTTTATAAGTTGTTAAACCTATATTTAAAGTTCCAAAAGTCTAAATGAATTTTGTAGTAAAAATTACTTGTAATTAAAATTATTACTATTCTAATTTAAAATATCCAATATTCTTGTTCAATAGACTCATGTTAAAATATTATAATGTAGTATTGCTAAATCAGTAATTAGAACTACTGTACTTCCAAGTTGTGTAAGAGCTTTCAACAGAAATATAACTTAAAGAACAAATAAAATCAACAAAATAAAATAAAAATCTTATTTATATTAAGTATAATATACTTAATGTAATATTAATTAAATATTTATAATATTAAGTATATTATACTTAATATATCTTGAAAAAATAAACAAATTTAAATTTTATTGACTTTTGAACCACTGAGAAGTTAGTTCAAAATAAAATCATTTTTTTTTTTGCTAATAGTTCCATGTATATTTTAAGTTATTCTCTATAACTAATAGATAAATAAACAATAATAATAATTGATAAAAATATTATCTACATTTTGAAAAAGAAAATTTTATTTGCAAAAAACCGATCACTAGACCATTGATGAAGGTTAGATTTAGTATATTAAATATTAAGCTAGCAATGATTTAAAACAATTATATTTATCAAGTGTATAATATATAAAGTATTACAAAAACAACAAAAATTTAGGATGAATATTACATCAAACCCACGACAAATAATTATTAAACACAACATTTAAGACATAAATACAGTTATTTTCTCTTAAATTTTTATTTTTAATTATAAATTAAATTAAGTTATATCTTAATAATACTAACATATATAACAACTTAATGAATATTACAAATAATTATGTGTTATGAGTACAATATAAATAACTAAGTAATAAATAAGTAGTAATTAATAATTATTAAAAAGTAAAAATGAAAGTTCATTATTAATTCATGTATATATCTCATAAATATAAATATTTATTTTTTATACATAAATTATTTAAATTTACTAAAAAAAAAAATGTAGAAATACATTATTTTTATTTTTTATATTTTATTTTCCTAAGATATTATTATTAGTTAACATCTATGAAAAGAAATTGTGATAATCAAAAGTTAGGCATACACATATTAAGTTTCTATTTATGAACTTTTCAATAATTAAAAAGGGTGGTTATAGTAGTTTTACTGTAAGTATAGTTTTAGAATTTATAATATTAAATATTTAAAACAATTTAATTTCAAAATATACATAGGAAATTATCAAAGTTCTTGTAAACAAAGTACAATAAAATAAAAACCTGAAGAAAAAAGTATGTTTTACATGTGAATGCCCATCTTCATTTATTATTAACATAGTTGTTTTAATTTATTATCATTTATCACTTATACAATTATATTAATTTAGAGTCATAAAAAAAACTTTTTTTTTTTTGTTAAATAAAATTTATTTTAAGTTAGGTAGTGATCAACTGAAATCTGTTATGAAATTTCAGGTAAAGATCTAAAGACTTAAATTAATTGTTATTAAGCAATTTAAAATACATACTCACATAAATGTAGGTAAATTATTAACTAAAACTATTAATTAAATGATACAGACACAGTATAGAGTTTGACTTCAAAATAAGTTAAAATTATGTTATGACTAGCATTGATTTTAGAATATATTTTAAAATCAATGGTATCAGTATTCTCTCGAATCCACTGAACATAGTAAACTTTTTTTTTAGCAGTACTAATCTTGTGTATTTAACTTTAATATTTAAGTGAATAATTCTATTATCAAACTAAAAGTTAAAAACATTATTTGTGTTATAATCTTGACATTTTTTTTTTTTTAACAATACTTCAATTCTATGATATACCTATGGGTATGTTTAAACTATAGCAGTTTATTCATAAATCATAATTTGTATAAGAATTGAAATATTGCATAAAAACCAATGTATTGAAAACAAATTTAAAATTTTACTCGTAGATTAAAGAGAGAAAACAAATATTACACTTACATCCTTTTAAGTGAACAGTAATGCAAATATATTTTTCTAATCTATGTGGTTAAACATATTCACATATTACATGTATACTATTATGATTATTTAATCTATATAGTGCATAGCATATTATAATTTTAAAATATGTTAAACACAATAAACAACTAACACATTTAAGGTTTATATTAGAATAATATTAATAATTATAATTTATAACATTAATCGAGTCAACATTTTAAATCCCATCGGGCAAATTAGACTCCACAAGCTATTGGCAGTATCAACTGGTTAAAGAGTTTTAATTACCCTTTACGGATCAAAAACAACATCAACAAAAACTTTCAAAGGTAACCCCACCTAATATTTTTAAGTTTCAGAGTAAGATTATACTTACAAATTAATAACGATTTAAACAAATTCTTAAGATTTAGTTCACAATAAAACTATACATAATTATAATTGTATTGAAATATTGTAAAAACAAAATAAAAAACAAAATAATTTACATAATACAGTAATTATAAATGGATCAAATATGATAAATTATTGATGATTCAAGTTTTTTTTGTTGAACTTGATCTACAGATTTATTTATACAAAACATTAATAAAAAAATACAATAAAAATCATAACAAGACTTAAGAAAAAAACACTATGGTTAACAGTTTTCAAAAAATATATTGGGTAAGGAGAAGGATTTATAAAACTTTTATTAATCAAAATTATCATTGTTTTTAACAATAATACATTTAAATTTTTATTAATATTTTTTCAAATAAACAAAAATGTTATAAATCATATATATAAATACCTTAAAGATTATGTATTTTTATTAAGTATTTACTACTCAATTAATTAAAATATAAATTACTTTAATCATATTATTATTTAACAGATAACTACTATATTTAAACATTAACTAACAAATTGTTTTAATAAGCTAAAAATCACAGAATTTTAACAAGAAAAATATTGAAGACAACTAAATTTTGAATAAAGAACCTCAGGATTCTTACGTAATCACAGTTGGAGAAGTACGTCCAGTAAATTGTACCAGTTTAGAAATCTCCAATGCTATCTGTAATTTACACATGTCTTTAATAAATAATAAATATAATTTAGTAATTGAGAACATATTGTTTAAAATTAGATAACATCAAGTATAACTTTAGACTAATAGCATTTTTTGGGTAATTTTTTTAGGACGGTCTAAAATATCACTAAATTACCTAGTGAAATTTAAATAATTCCTGGATATTTTAAATAAACTTTTAACTTAGCTTAAAAATATATTTTGAAACATGTTATTGGATCTAATAAAATTAATTTTACATCAATTTCATATATTTTGATATACATCAGTAAAATACCAATTGGGCTATTTTCCAGACATGAAAAACACCCTCTCAAAAAAAAAAAAAGTTAAATTAAAAAAAACACACCATTGTTTTAGACACTCAAAACAGTATACCATTCCTTATTATGGAAAATTCAGTTGGTTTAATCCAGTATTTCTCAAACATTTTAAAATTTCAAACTACTTAGTGAAATATTAATTTGTCATGGGCCATTTTGATTTTAGTCACTTTTATTTTTTGTTAATTATTAATTGTATTAAAATAAATGTAATATTAAAAACAATAAGTTATTATATGGTTTATCACTTATACCATCAGTTATTAGTGTTATACCTAACTCGCCACAAAATAAGAACATACCTGGGTGGCGAACCAAAATAGGTTCACCACGTGCAGGCATCACTAATTGGCTAACAAAAACAAAAACGAATTGAAATAAAGCGCTATATCAAATATGTGTTTATATTATATTTAACAATTAATAGTAGATTAATATTGACATTCTACTGGCAATATTGGTGGTCCCCAACTCTGACAAGGTTGCGGCGAGGAACCAATCTGCTGCCAGCGTAGCGAGTATATGTTTCATTTCAGAAAATATTGTTTAGTGTTATAATTATTAATTTTTATGAAATTTATAATTTTTCCTAATATTTCATATGGGTTTAATACTACATACTTGAACAAGAGGATTAAGAGCCACTTGAGCATCTTCTAAAATATTTGAAGTTGGTGGTTCATATGATTCAGCATATAAACGAATAGTAGCACCACTACTGCCAGTACCACTTAATCTAAAGACAAATCTGGAACCATCTTCAAATAACACTCTTATACCCTGTTTAAAAATTGAAAAATATACTAATTAATCATAATATAATTTTGATTTTTGTTATCAAGTATAAATAATTAAGTATTATTCTACAAATCATCAATAATGTTTTCCGCAAACTCAATTTACCTGTTTTTTAGTGACACTTTTATCAATTGGATCACAATATTCAAAATTATCACCTTGTTTGAAAATATAAACCTTTGAACCATAAATAAATTTCTGACCAATAATTGCAGGATCAGTAACTTTTTTTTCCAAATCTGACATAAGTTGATTAGATGGCTCAGATTCACAATTTTCATAGTCATATCTAGTGAAGTAGTTACGTCCGAAAGTTTTCCAATGATTAGTAAGTATAGTTTCTACTGACTCTCCAGTATTGGCTAACACTGATAACCATGCCAAGACAGCCCATATTCCATCTTTTTCACGAATATGATCAGAACCAGTTCTAAAAATAAAATGTAAAGCAATTGTTGTAAATAAACATGAGAATATGTTTTGTACTTCTCAATATTACCCAAAGCTTTCTTCACCACAGAGTGACAAACGACCAGCATCCATCAAATTTCCAAAAAATTTCCATCCCGTAGGCACTTCAAAAAGTTCTTTTCCTTGCTTTGCTGCCACCCTACATTATTATTTTTAAATTATGTAAAAAAATATTTTTGAAAAGATAATAGAGAATATTTTACCTATCCACAGCTGCACCTGTTGGCATACTTCTGGCAAATCCTCTGACACCATTTTCTTTAAAGTAAGGGATACATTCTAAATTGTTGGCTAAAACAGCTAACGAATCACTCGGGTTGATGAAAAATGCTTTTTTACCAAGAATCATATTACGATCCTAAAATAAAGACAGTCAATAAAAAAAAGAGTAAAAATATGTTTAGTTTAAATTATTTTATTTTATTGTTTTACATGAATGCCCCTCAAGCACTAACATTCCAAATTTACCACTATAAATTTTTTATATTTCAAATATTTTACTTAAAAATCTTTTTATGCTAAGTTAAAATTAAACAATTTCGCTTAATAATCTTCTAATTTTATTATATCAGTAGTTTACAAATTTATTTAATAATTTTCAACATTTAATATGCTTTGATCATTATAAATTGTGTACTAAAACATCGTATATGGACTAACATTGGTTTTAAATAACAAATTTACTTAGTATAATAATGTTAACTTTTAAACTTGAGAAAATACCCCAAGTTTTGATCCAGTAAATTAAACCTCTAGGTTAAAATTCAAATGAATAATATATTTTGGCATTAATTTGTTTTGTAAGTTTATAGAATAAATTTTAAATTATTATATTGAATTGTATAACAACTTACACCATCTCCATCAAAAGCGGCACCAAGATCATACTCCCCTTCTTGTAATGCTTTTACAAGGCCATGAGCATAAGTAAGATTAGGATCTGGATGAACTCCGCCAAAATCAGTTAAAGGTTTTACATTGATAGCATTATTAGATGGCGCACATAATTCTTCAATAAAAATTTTCTTTACATAAGGTCCAGTAACTAAAAACATGAATATTTTTAGTTTCTTTCTTTTTTTTTAACATAATTTTTTGCTAAACGATAGGTTATAACAATAGAGCAATAATCTTAAGATATAATATTAGTACACACAAGAAACATCAGAGTGAAGAGACCTCCAGTAAAGGTACTTTGATTTTTTTTTAAATTTTTTAATTGAAATAAATACAAATCTAAATTAAGTTATGTTAAATTGATTGATATGTTTAATTGTTATAAAAATAGATCTGATAAAATTTCAGCTATAAAAATATAACGAATCAATTTGATTGAGATCATGTCAGTTAACATGCTTTATGTTTTTTTTACCTCCGTTCATTGAATCAATAAGAATATTAAAAGGTGCTTTATTGTTGGATCCTTGAATTAACTTGCGAATAACATCAAAATCAAAAATTCTTTTCATCAACTGAAGATAATCCACAACAGAGTCAATGACTTCTACTTCAAATTCTTTACCGCTAACCTAAAATATAACATATTTATTTCTTATTTTCAAGTTAATAAATGTGGTACAAGATTTATACTTTAAAATATTGTAAGCCACAGTAATCTATAGAACATTTTAAATCTGGTACAATACTATAAGAAGTGATATTTTTGGTTAACTCATAGATAGCATTTGTAACAGATTCTGGAGCAGGACCTTAAAAAAAAAAAAATTAAAATATTAATATTGGTACTAGATAATTAGTATGGATTGTATCATTTGTTCTACCACAAATTAGACTCACCTCCGTTGGCTGTGTTGTATTTAATACCAAAATCGTTATTAGGACCTCCTGGGTTATGACTAGCTGTAAGTACTATGCCACCGGTTGCTTTGTATTTACGAATGATGCAGGACACAGCTGGAGTTGATAAAATTCCTTTGTGTCCTACAATTAATTTTTTTACCTGGAGATTAAACAAAAAATACAATTTTAAAACAGATAATTCAAATAACAAATAAACTTAACACATAATTACTACGTTTATAATTTACATTTTCATATTTAAAAGCACTATCAAATAATTTAGCTTCATACTATCCTGGAATATTAGTAGGCATTATGTTAATTAACTTCATATTCAATATTTAAAAGTTAATATTTTGATTAAATATGATTTATAGATTATAAAAATCTCTTTATTATTATTTATTTTAAAATACCTATTTGCTTCCTACTTATTTCACAACTATGACTATTTAAGGTGACTTTAGCCGTTTATTTAACTAGGTATGTAAATACCTAGTTAATAATTTATCACTGAATAAACATGTACATAGCAAATTTATTAATTATTAACTAAACTTATTAATGAAAAATTTAGTAGCTGTTACTAATATTGCCAATTCATCTTAGATAATATGTACAACTAAATAAATTAAATTTTTTTTCGAAAATAATTGATATAGAGTAAAAATAAATATTTTTTTTTTATTATTATTATTGACATTATTGTACTTTTTTTTTTAAACAAATTGTTATCAATACTATAACATTTCTACAGTATCAATCTGAGTGGTATAACCACCATTCTATCAAAGAACAGTCAGAAACCTTAAGCTTTTTATAACATATTAATTATTAAAAAATATTGAATAAGACTAAACTATTGCATGATTCTATAGGAACCCATTAAAAATTACAGTTGCGGGGGATTTGATCCTAAAGTCATGTATCTAAATTATTATTATTGTACAAAATATACTTCAGTATCAATCATGTATAGATGTATAGTTATTGTTGGCTAAATAACTAAGTACTAATTATTAATGTATTATTGTTTTGATCGGAAAAAATATCATAGAATTAATCGAAAATCATTTTTTACTGTACACCGACGACATACCTATATGTATTTTATCATCATTATTATAATTACTACCATTTACCGGCATTAATAAGTAGGAGGAAGGTTATATTATGTTGTGTCGTTAAGTTATAGTTTATCTTATTTATAAATAGATAGAGATAATACGACATAATATATTCATAGTGCAAACGAATGCAAAGCTCTACTGATATGTGTGTATTACGTTATTACGTGCGAAGCTTATCGTTAAATTGTATAGTTCATATAACAAACAAAAAAAAAAAAAAAAAAAAAATAGAATAATATTAATTCAAACTCTACGTGTGTTTTGGCAGTTCTTAGTTTGAAACTGAATTTGAAAACTTGACGCCTACGTCAAAAAAACCGATTATCCACTTACTAAATAGGTAAATAATAATAAATTATGTATATGTATGTTAATAAGTACCGTCTATCGAGTATAGCTCGTTATAAAATCTAATTTTACTAATTGGTATATTAATATTATGACGAAAACACCCAGGCCTCATTACTATATTAATATAAACGTCAATGACACTAACTTTTATGAATAAAACCTAGTATGTTGTGCATACCGTGATATAGAATAAACGCAAGGGAACCAAAATATAAAACGACTATAACTAATTTTCAGACATAAATTTAAATTTCCGAAAATCCGCAATAACCAACAAACAGCGACTATAAAGCAGTGTCGAGATAGGCAGCGGTTTAATTTGTGGGTTTCACGGACAGGGAAAAACAAAATTTACAGCGTCGTTCTACGGAATCTGAGTGCTTCGGTAATGCGAAAAAAATTTGAAAATCGCGCCGGTTCAAAGACATAGATTATAATAAATTTTTAAAACAATAAAATTAGGAAAAAAATTGCAACTCAGCGCTATTGAATTTTAAATACCTGAACATAAGCTAAATTATATAATATTCTTTGGTCACATCACATACCCCGTTGGCAGCGGCGATTTTAATTATCAAGTCCACGGCTTCAGTGCAGAAGAACCGGCCATCGCCACCGACCACCAAGGTGCTGCCGGCGGCCGACGGTTGGACGGCGCCGAGAATAGACTGCACGAAGTTTTCCGTGTAGTTAGGCTGCTGAAATACTTTGACAGCTTTGCGCAAACCGCTAGTTCCTGGCTTTTGCCCTTCAAACGGCGTCGTTTTTACTACCACCGGTTCCATGACGAGACGGACGAGAGACAGAAGGGGACACGAGTTAATACCGATGCTCTCGGACGGGGACGAAGTGACCGGCCGTAATCAGTAACGAGAAAACGTCGAACGCGGAATGACAACGAAACTACGGAACGTTCTGATGTTTAGTCGTCCTCCGGAGCGTCGGCAAACGCACGCCGCCGTCCCGTCAGCTGATCCGATGCTTCTGGCGGTGGAAGGGGTAGACTTCAAGGTTGTCGGTGAGGTCTTTTTTTTTTAACAACAATATCGCCTTCTGCCTTGTAGTTGTTGACAACGGTCGATTATGAAATTGTACGATACGTTCGTTTATCTACTTATACAACTTATTATATAACCGTACTTTTTAAACGTACATTTCTTCAATAACACTCAATATAGATAGCGAATTTTGAACTTCCAGTCGGTTAATAATTTTCTCCTGAAATCCATGAGAACTTATGATGAGTGAAAAATTAAATTAGATTCGAGACGAACCACATTAAAATTTAATCTGCTCATAAGCGCACGTTAAAAATTGAGATTCAAATAAAACGTATATGATATTTTTCTCCCTTAAACATCGTATAATTTACTATTATCATTCCTCGAAGAATTGAAATAATGCAATTATAAGGAAACAAGCAGAAACGCAGCTTATTGCAAACGATAGAAACGGGCACGTCTTAAAGTTTTAACTTTTAAGAAACATGTCATGTTGTTTAATACTTTAATGACAATTATATTTCTTTCTTATTAAGTCTGTCTTGGGAATCTTCATGCTCATGCTTCATGACATTCCCAAGACCTGATTACCCGAATGTTGAAAACAATTCAATAATTGCATCACGAAAATGAGATGACTATTGATCACAAACGACAAAACAAAATCACGTGTACCGTGTAAATAATACCTACATATTAAAATGATAAAATAACAATACTATAATAATTTCTTAAAATAAACTTGATTTGAATATTTAATCAAAGCTATAGCCTTTAATTGTGAATAATTCTTAAAATACCAACAATGTGTGTATGACACTTAAGGCTTAAGTCATTTAACGGTAATGTGTATGAGGTTCACGTTCATGTCCCATGCATAGGTATTGTTTCAATATCATTTTTATGTCTACATAATATATATACAAACTTAATATCACGTGTATTGCAGTCATGTTATTAGTGCACTGTGCGTTTCCCTATGGCTAGATCTAAAATATTTTCATGAAATTTGTAATAAATGATGATAATACTATAGAGTACATGTTTTAACATTCTAGAATTAAAATTTGAATTAATAAACATCAATTGGTTATATCACTTACATCATAACATTAATTATTGGACTCAATATCTCAAAGGTCGAATTGGGATCAAAACAAAGTTCGATGTTATTACTTTCCGTAAGAAATAATTATCAAATGGATGAAAACTTTTGATAAATGCATGATTATTATTGTATACTAGATAAGGTTAATGAACATTTTAACTTTTATGATTAGGTATTATATTATTCTAACGAGCAATAACTTATTAGCTACCTATTACCAATTATATATCTTTAAATTAATTTTGTATTAAGTGTATTATAGCTACTCTGTTTACCTACACTTGAATAATAATCAATAAATCACATCACATAGGTATACATAAATTAATTAAACAAATTATCTAACTTAACCTAACAAACCTTATTATTTTAGAATGTACAATTATACAAATACTATAGGTAAAATGTTTGTAGTTAGGTTTTAGGTACCTATCTTATTAAATCTTTTCCAATTTAAAATAAGTGAAAACAATAAAGTCTTAGTAATTTATCGTAGTTCTGCAATTACCTATCCACTATATCTTTAACAGACAACAAATAACAATACAGGCTATACAGCCCTGTCTAGTTCATTAAATAGGTAGGTAACGAGAATATAATATGATACTATATACTCAAACCCAATACTCATATTAAACATATACAAAATATAATAATAATATATAGTATTCAAAGTATTCTTAAAACTCTGTGGTCTAAGAATGTCAAGATACCGAACCAAATAGTTACTAAACTAATTACATAAATATTTTATCTTTAAATAAACAAACAATACCCATGTTATTAGGTACTTAAATGAACCGTGGCAAGTCATAAACTCGTAGCGCATTTCGCTGTACGCAAAATGATAATTGAACTGATTAGAAAGTATTGCATTTCGCTGTACCATTTTTGTACCAGTAAAAATATGTATGGCTTCTTCCAATTAAAATGTATACTTAGATATGTTGTAATACTCACAGTTATAATGAATTTTTAAATTGTTCATTTCATTTCATACAATGTATGTTACAAAAATATTAACAATGCGTTCAAAATCATTCACAAATTATGATCGCTTTTTGCTCAAACCATAAAAGTACCTACCTAATAAAATAAAATGTAATTTTTTTAAATCAACGACTGCTTATTTAACTTTTTTTTTTTATAACTTGTATATTTTTAAAACTAAATTAGTTCAATGTTCATTCAGAAAATCGTAACACCATTTTCGCTAGCTTTACAGATGGCAATTATTTGTTTTCAAATAATAATAATAATTTTTTTTTTTAAACTGGAATCTTTATAATAGATAATTATAACTATTTTTGCAAATTTATAACGCTTTCATTGTTGTTTTATTATATTTTACCTTTTACTATTTTAAAGTTTTTTTTTATACCTGGTTTTAACTTATGAATTGTTGGATTGTGCATTGAAGTGTGCGTAAAAAGATTCATAGTTATTGGTAGTTTTAGTTAAATTTGTATTAAAACTACTATAATATTAAAAAATGTACACATTATTTTATTATGATTATCATATAAAATTACTGTACAACACAAATAAATTTGGCGCAATTGGGTGGTCGGAAAAAACGTACCTTTTTTTTTGTCGCTGTTGGACTATACCCAAGAATTAATTTTTTTGGGGCTATAAATGGGGGATGCTCGTAGTAAAATCAATACAATCAATGCTCCGATCAAAAAAAGGTTAAAAATATAATTACATATACATAACATCAATATGTATAACACGATACACTTGTAGGTTGTAACTTGTAGATAAATAGAACTAATTCTAACAAGAATCTATTACAATTTGTTTGCATCAAATGACTTAGTTTAAAAAAATATATCATCGTGTTGCTATTATACATTTATACAAATTTGGAATAATACTTATAAATACCATCCAATATTATTTAAATAATAATATTTGTATAATATATAGATGATATTATAGTATAATATTTAGTACATGTTATATTAAAAGCTAGTACCTATTGTAATAATAATAAAATTATAGATAAGATATTATGTTAAAAGTGGTATACGTATAATATTTATTTATTGTATTATAACATCCATCTTGTGTTAATCTTGAGCTAATTTAGTACACTCAGATTAGGTAGAAAAATATTTTAATAAAATTCAAGTAGTAGATTAATTCAAGAAATTTAAAACAATAATGTTTAAATTTAGTATTATTTTTAAAAAGTTTTGTAAAAAATGTGTAGCAGTAGTTAATACAATATTTATTAAAATATATTTTAAATAATACGCTATATTTATTACATAGGTTTCATTAATATAAAGGTAATTTCTGTGTGTTAATCAGTTAGGTAAGTCAAGACTAGGTATAATATTGTATAACTTATAACATTCTTACTGTGAACATCTTTTAATTCATTACACATTTTTAACAAAAGTAAATATTTTTTGTGTTGTCTCATAATATTATTATATATGTACACGGTTGACAGATGCTGTTCGATGGAATTTGGAATCAGATTTGGCACCATTATCTATAATAGCCATTATAGATATGATAGTGTAATGTGTATAATAAACAACTATCAAGTTAATAAACTGTATATTAAATAATATCAAAAAATCAAGTAGATACAGAAAGTTGCATTGCAATCAAAATTAATTAGAATGATCATAAATGCAAAGGAAAAAATATTATTAACTATTATTAGTTATTACAGCATTTAACTGTATAAGACATAAGTACAGCAGAAAAATAACATTATGGCCACCTATTTTAATTAATATTGTTTATATTAGCTAATATGTAACGATTATGCTTCTCTGTAGAAGCAATCAAATTTTATTTTAACTCAATTTTAAATAATAATGTGAAATATTATACCATCCGTGATGAACCCCGATTTTTAATATTTTAACCTCAAACTTTATAGCATTTTTTTAAAATAGTCAGTTTTAAAATTTTTTTAAACAAACTCTTTTAGTGTTTTAAATCAAATCAAATTTTTAAAAAGATCTAATTTAATTTAATTTAAAAAAATCATTAGATAAAGCGAGCTGTAGAGTATTGTTGTACCACTTGTACCTGTCAATTAAAAAAATAATTATTCCGAAAATATTCAATTGACAATGAGTTAACCTTTTTAGTTTTTACTGTGGTAATTTTCGTCCGTCGAAATGGCTAATTAAATATTTCATTATTTGTTACTTTGTTAGTATATAGATACTACTTGTCATGTACCTGTACGTACGTTTAGATAATTCATAGTCCCCTCTTCGAATAATTAAGTACAACTTATCACTGTCATAGCATTACAAGGGAATAGGGATAAGTTATAACATGTATTATAAATTGATTATAATATCTAGTAAATTAATAATGTCCAATGTCTGTACAAAAATACAAGGGTGACTAAAAACAAATATAATAAAATTTTGTAAAATAAAATAATATCTAAAATAGTAAAAAAATTATGTGATATAATAGTACCTATATCAATTTTAGTGTTTACATTTCTGTAACAATGTTTCTACATTTTACATAATTATCTATGTTTGCCTAAATATTCGTATGCAGATACAGATGGAGATTAGGTATAACCTACTAATAAGTATGATAATGCCAGTTAAAAATGAACCTTATAGTCTAAAGATTTTACTATGGACTACACTATAAACAAGGTAATATATATTTTTTTAAGGTGAAACTCAAAAATTATTTATGATTTTGGAGATATTTTTATTACATAATTTTAAATCATATAGTATATTTTATAGTTATAAATGTTATACATATTTTATTTTTGAGTAATGTTCCATAATATTGTTGGGTACATCTGTCATCTGTACTC